CATGATTCACCATCTAATATCTCACAGCACAATCGCCTGCTGGAGTTTTGAGGTTGGATTCCCTGTATGGAAACCCTTCCCAGCAGCTCTGGAGCCTCCTTAGCCGCCTGCTGCATGACCTTGGGGATGGCCGGTGGCCAAGTGCCATCTGTTCTCTGCACACCACTGATAGCTGAAACATCTGTTAGGTTGCTGCGTTTCTGGGCTCTGCGCTCAGAGACAATTTCTGCCAAACAGTTAACAATAAGGGAAGCTTTGATAATATTGGTATCTTTTGAAAAGAATAAACTGAACGATGGCTGGAAAGGAAAGCACTGTTGTGGCCACAGCCTGTCTGAAATACTGCAACATCCAAGTGAGGCCTTGGTTCAGAAGATGCCAGAGCAGGGCACAGGGAGGTGTCTGTGGAGAGAGACAGACAGACAGAAAGACAGACAGAGGCAGTCTGGGGATGCAGCAAGACCCTGCCTCAAAATAAAGGCTGAGGGTGTAACTGAGTGCGAGGCCCTGGGTTCAACTCCCAGCACCACAAAACACACACACACATATTTACACACACATGCATGCACACATATGCATACACACATACGCCTACATAAAATACAGAATGAGGGGGAGCATACGGAACACAGCTTAGACACATTGTTTTTGTTTATCGAACTCTGCAGTCCCCTTTTCTCCCGGCTGTTGAAAACTTCCCTTTACCACTTTTTCCCGCTCACTTGATCTGGTTTTCTTCCTCCTTCCAGCTCTGGTGTCCCCAGCGCTGGCTCTCCAAGTGCGATCTGCTCTCTCCTTCTCTCTGTGCAACTCCAGGAGCCCCGCCCCTTCCAGGCCTTCTTCTGCCTCTCAGGAATAACAGTTTCTTCTCTCCACTGGGTCTGTTTTTAATATAAAGGACCGTGCATCGCTTTACAAAGCTAAGAGCCTTTTAAGTTCCCGTGACCCGGTGGGTCAGCAGTTGGTTCTCGTCCTTAATGTGTACAGGCAGAGGCATTCGGCAGACATTGCCAGGCCGCGTCAGGAGTGTCACACTGCAGCTATGCCGGGGGTCTCCTCCCAGGGAGGGCGGAGGAGCCGCGCCCACCACACCGGGGTGCAAACCGGCGTCCTCCCTCCGCAGTCCCCCCTGAGCACTGCCCTGTTCTCCGCTCTCCTCCGTTGTCAGCTCTCGGTTGCTGGGACGGAACACCTGAGAAAATGCCTGCCTCACGGTTCCAGGCCTGGTTCCATGGAGCTGAGCGTCTGGCCTGCGGGAGGCTGTGCATCGTGACAGTGGGGCCGGCGGAGGACAAGGGCTCTGCACGGTGCTGGGTGCTGGTGCCGGAGGGAGACAGGGTGAGGGCGAGGGAGAGGGGAGAGGAGGAGGAGACAGAGAGAGGCAGGAGCCGTGGCCTCCCTTCCGCAGGCTGCGCCTCCTCGCTCCGCCACCGCTGGTAGCGCCATAGCTGGGGCCGAGGCTGCAGTGCAGGAGCCCCCAGGCTTCTGTATCCCAACTCTGACACGCTGTCTTTTAGTCAAGTGAGAAAAGGAAAGCTGCCCTCAAAAAGTCGCCCAGCTCCTCACACACTGCCGGAGGTATTTTTGTAAATGTACCTTGAAGTGACTTCCAAACTATGCTTTTTTTCTACAGAGACAGCTTTAAGGCCATTAAAGTCATTAGTTTATTAAAATTCAACTCAGATGTTTCACACCAAAAATAAACTGAAAACTTTCTGTTCTTAATGATGTACCAGACCCAGACTAGCTGAAGAGCAGTCCCACTGCTGGGCCCGCTGTCGGACAGGCAGCTTCGACCCCTGGTTGCCAGTTAGGGTTTCTGAGGGCCCTCGCCGGCCTCCCCTGCCGGCCCGGTCTGCACGATGGCTGTGTCCCAGGCACAGGGCTGAGAGCTACTCAGGGTTCTCATCACGTTCACATAAGGGGGCTTGTGCCGATCCCCCCCACAGCGACTGCTGGAGATGGAAAAGACAGCCACGAGCAGTGTCACGGAGCGGTGGTGTTCGTACAGGGAGTGTCCTTCCAGTTCTGGGGGCAGGCTCTGGAGGGAGCGGGATGCACGCCGTCCTCACCCCTCCGGAGACAGGAGCCTCACCCGACTGTCCCCACCCGGTGTCCCGAGACAGTCCCCAGTCCCGTGGCCCTGGCTCAGGGATGGCAGTGTGTTTCTTTGCAGTCAGCAAGTTAAGCAACTCACACTGCCCAGAGCTGTCTGACTGGTTCTGAAATGAGAGCCCTGCCAGATGAGAGCAGCAGCCAGAACTGGGGTGGGAGGCTGTTTCCTTCTCTTGCTTAGTGTTTTTCTATGAAGCTAAAAAGAGTAAGGAATTGAAACTTTCCTTGCTTTTCAAAAATAAACCATTCTGTCACCATTTGAATTTTCCAGTATGTATCCTAATTAATCCTAGTGCTTGTGCCCTGCTCTCAAAACTTTCTGTGCCGCCTGTTAACAAAACCTCCTGGGCATCTTTCAAGATGCCTCCGTCATATAGCATTCCATACTGTCTGTCTCGTGAGGAATTTTAGAGTGGATCCTATTTGCATTAACCCATTTTTGCCAAAAATTAAAATTTTTCAAATTTTTGCATGAAATTCATATATATTACCTAGAAAAATTGAAGAATATGAAAACATTCCATTGCGTTACATTGTTATAGGTGTTCCAAAAATGGATCCCTCGAGTTACACAGAAACATATCAAAAAGAAGGTGTGCATTATGCACTGTCTTTCTAAAGCAACATCCCTCAAAAACACTTGATAGTGGATTTCTCACTCAGTCCACAAGAGGGTGGCCCTGTGGGCAGCGTGAGGGCAGGGTCCACCCACAGGAGGCGAGCAGGCCTGGGTGCCATAGGATCTGTCCATCTCCCTCCCTGACCCCACCTGGCAGTGCGCTTGCCTGACTCAGAAGCTCAGACCGGAGCTTGGGGGGCTTCTCCAGGATCACACCAGGAAAGAAGAGGAGCTGGGATTTGAACCCACCTGTGGGTAGAGTGCAGTGGTAACTGCAAAGCCCCATTTTTAATCTCCCTCTGGTAGCTCACAGCGGAGACCACACAAGGCTGCTCCTTTGAAACAGAAGCCTGAATGTCATTTCAAGAGGGAAAATAATTCACAAAATAGCCAAGGTGACTGTAATGTTTGGAACACACCATTTCATGTACTGAAGCTTGAGCAAAAGGGTGAAGCTCTTGAACGTAGAATTTCAGGAAGCAAGCATAGGGTTAGGTAGGTTTTCTGAGACCATATACAAGGGTATGGGGCTAGTGGTCTTCATTCCCTATCATTTTATTTTACAAATTCACAAATCAAAGAATAAGGCACAGAATTAATTATTTCAAGTTAATAAGTGAAGCTGTTGCTAGTGGAGTCCGGCCCATAAATCCACCTGAGGAAGTGTTACCAGATGGCTGGAGTGTGCACTATAAGGAATCACAGGACAGAGCGAGGGGTGTCCTAGAAGAATATCACCTTAGAAAGAAAAAAGAGGGAGAGAGTGAAACAGAAAACACTGCAGCGGGGATGCCTAGCCACAGGCACCTTCCCTAGGTGCCATTTTTAAGACTGCTTTTCCTGCCACGGAACCACCAGTAATAGCGTTGCTTTAGCTTTTGGTTACAGTCTTATCACTTACTTTATAAATCTCTGAATCACTTTCCTGTTCTTGTTATGAATTTGTTTTTTACCAGTTGTTGGTTCATACAGAGTATGAACATAAAAAACAAAATAGGAAAATAGAATTGATGCTTTTTCCACGGATGCAGACCGCTCGGCACTGCAATGACAGCTAGTGACTCGCAGGAGACCTGCACACTGCAAGCACCGTGGGCTTTGCTCGTCTGTGCCTGTTTCTCCGTGGAGGCTGCTGGCTCCTTGGGGCGGGGACTGGCCGTATCCCCCTTCCCTCCCCCCAGTGCATGGTTCAGTGGGCGAGGCGGAGAAGGCGTTGCAAGAAGCTCTTCACTCAGTGTGGAGGGTGAATGAATGACTGAAACAAGGGAATGGCCGCACCTGCCCTGTCGCCTTGCTCCACCTGCAGCTACCCGAAGCTGCCCGCAAGTCCTCCCAGTGTCGCTGCGCAGGGTCCCAAAGTTCTCTCAGCAGGGTTCTTGGTTCCCGCTTGCAGGACACAGCGAGCACACACCCCTTGTGGAGAGTGGCACCTGTGCACAGCTCGCCTGCATCCTCTTTTTTCTCCCTGTCTCTTCGTCCTCTTCCCTTTTGAGAAAGACCTATCCCCACTCCCTAGTATCTCTCTTCTAGTTTGCTCTTTATTTGTGGTTTGACTTTCTCATCTAAGAGAAACCATGCAATATTTAAACTTGTGTTGTGATGTTTTTTCTTTAAATCTGTACATTCTGGAGACTTATATAAACTAATGCCCACCCCCACACACAGAGAAATGCTATGAATATCAGTCCCGAAGCTTAGGCTGAAGCTTGCTTATAGACAGCTTTGTTTGGTCTGCTCTGTTACGGAAGGAGCAGGAACAGCAAACCATGCTATTTCTTTCTTTCTTCAAGGATAATCAGATCCCACAAAGGCAGTCACTGGAGTTAATAACAGTTACTCCTGGGAAGACACATAACCTCTACATGGAGTAAGGAGAAAGAAGAGTGTGCAGTCAGTGAGGACGTTGTTGTTTATGGCTTCTTTACAACCTGAAGTGCAATATCTATATTTCTTCCAGGTTTAACGAGGCCACAAACAATCAGCTCTTTGCTGAGTGGTGTTGGAGACTTTTGCCTTTAACCTGATGTATTTTAATCTGTGCTTGATGAGCTACCGGAGCATATCAGCTTGGTACTGTAGGGACCTTTGGTAAGCATTCCTTGTGTTAGCCTCAGGGTCTAGGAAAAGGTAAGGAAACAGTAAGACCTCCCCAGGGCAGGCAATGGATCCCCTGGGCAGTCACCTGCTCAGGGAGGGAGCCACTCCCCTGCCTCCTGCCCCAGCCAGGTTTCTGCTCTCCTGCTAACCACTCCCTGGTGTCCTTCAGTTTTCAGGACTCTATCTGCTGTCCTTCTTCACCATCCTCATCGGGCTGGTGCTCTACTCCTCCACCTCCACCTACATAGCCCAAGACCCTCGAGTGTACAAGCAGTTCCGCAACCCTGCGGGACCTGTCGTGGACTTGCCTGCCACAGCTCAGGTGGAGCCCTCAGTCACCTACACCAGCCTGGGCCAGGAGACCGAAGAGGAGCCCCATGTGCGCGTGGCCTAGGCCATGGCCCGTGGCCGCCGGCATCTCCGTGTTGTACATAGAGAAAGGTATTTACCAGGTGCAGCTCACACAGGTGGCCTGCAAGGCAGCAACCCCGGGCAGCTTGGAAAGGCGCATGCTGAGGACCGCTGGCTCCAGGCTCCGTGCGCCTGCCCCACACGGTGCTCAGCCAGGGTGCACCCTGTCGCCCTGCACCAGTTGCTGTACAGTGTTCCACCCCCGATCAGTGTCCTGGCTGCCACGATCTGTGTGGCTGCTGTTGTGCCGACTCTCAGGAGGGCCTTCTGCACTCCTGGTGGGAACCACTGCCAGACCCCCATGTGGCCCACGTAGCCCCCCTTTTCTATGGCGAGTCCCTTTGTAAGGATCATGCTTTCTTTCTGCACAGACACAGAGCGATGCAGGGCACCTGCTCCCCGGAGAGTTCCCTTTCCTGGGCCCAATGGCCCGTGGCGTCTCTGACCCTGCTGGAGCACCTGCTGGCTCAGTTAGTATTTTGTGCTGTGACCCTTGTGGGAAGGGGCAACTGACCACATAACTCTCTATTCTGGGAATAGATTTAAAGCAAACATTTTAGCCTCTTTGTATTTCAGTCTCTGATGACCTAGGCCGTTGCCTTTCTGTTGGGCCCCATAATTTGGCTAATCGAGTCCCCGTGATAGCAGGATAAGGACTGTTCCATTTCTGTGGCTCAGGGGAAACCCAAAAGAGAAACATTTGTGTTGAGGGGCTAGTTTTCCTTTCAAACTTTTTCTGCCCCTTCCTAAATCCTCTCTTCAAAAATTATTTTTTATTTTCCTTCTATTTCCTAGATTTTCTAGTCTAATATGGAAATTAATCAAGGCAAAGAGAAAAACCCATGCTCCGCTACCCTCTTAATTATATAATACCTTTTTTGAAACGTATCAGCCTGGAAATTATCCTTCTTTTGGAGTCACCTTGGTTACACCACTTCCCGAAGCCACAGTGCCGATGTGGAACCAACCCTGTCGCCATTGAAAAAGTCTGGCAAGGTGGTCACATTTGACATCCTTCTAACAGCAGGACATACTGACACAACATCCTCAGGGTGCAGAGCACCACAGGGTCCCGATAAGCCTTGCAGCAAGTGTCACTAGCCCAACCTAGTGCCCTTAAACAGCCCCTTTACTCAAACACAGGAAACCAAGACCCACTGGCCTCTGTCATTCAGCACAGACTCTGTGTCAGTGTGTGAAGTGCTTTTAGGCTCTGCTGACTGGAAAGCCACCCCAAAGGGTCTCCGGTGGTGGGCGTTCCAGGGCTTGCACAGTGTTTGTGCACCCTTGGGCAATGCAGATCAACGCACAGTGCAAAACACCGATGGGTCTGTAGAGAGCAGATGGGGGCGTGGGGCCTGAGCCCGGCAAGGACGTGTGGCCAAGCAGCCCTCACTGTTCCCAGCCCTCCCGTGGCCTTTCTGCAGGTCTCCCACAAAGGCGGGTGGTCCTGCCTCACGAGATGGGAGAGAAACCATCTTCTCTGACATGCAGATCCCACAATCACATCCACCCCCTTAGAAACAGGCTCCATCTGCTGCGGGCTCAACCTGACTGACGCTCTCTCAAATCAAGACAGCCTTGCTCTCTGCTGCCTTAGAACCAGTTAAATACCTTTCTCTGAATTTTTTTCTCCATTCAGCTCTGAAGACCTTTAAAGATTGTGGTTTTATTTTTGTGTTTACATTCCTTTGGTTTGCATAATTTGCTTGATTTATTTCATTTTTAGTATTTATTTTAAGCCAAATGTTTTTGTCTTTTTGATTCATTTTTATGATGCTAATTTGTAGACACTTAGTAAAGTCTTATGAGAAGCAAGTGGCCGGAGCAATTTCTAAATCCACTCAGTGGACTGGGAATTTTCTTTCAATTCCAATTTCCAAAGGTTTACGATTGACCAATGGCCAAAGGCTGCCATCTGAGCTATTCTCTAGGGCGTTTTGATTGACTACTGTATGGAAACAGAGTGTGAAGTTCAGGGTGCATTCTCCGTGCGCCTCTGTCATCCAGCGTCCTGGCAATCAGTCCTTCACGTCCCCAGGCTGCCTCGCCATGCTGGTTTGTCTCCAGAAAGGCTGGAAATGTACTGAGTTGTCCATGATCAGGAGTTCCAGACACACTGTAAGGGGAAAAATAGTAGCAAAGGACAAATTCTTTTTTCTGTGTAAAAACATCAATCCTTTGGGAGTGGGGAGGGAAATGGTTATAGGGCAATATTAACTCTAGCAGTTTTAGTTTCTGAGATTCCATAACCTCAGTAGGAACCAGCACAAATTTCAGCTTTTCAGTCACCACCGCACTCTCCTCAACAAGATAAGGCTTTCTCGATCTGTATACAACTTGATCAGGCTCTCCTGAAGCCCACCCACCCCAGGTAAGTGGTGGTGCTCACTTCCCTGATGAGGTCCGCACCTGGTCCCACCTTCCCTGGCTCCAGACTCCACACTCACGCCCAGGAGACCAACCAAGGGAACGGTTCGCACCACCGTGTCCCACGAAGCTGTTTCGATGTTTAGTTTAGGTATTGCTAACTTGTGCTATTAACCTCTGACAAGCGTGTAGTATTGTTTGTTTTGGTTTACTTTTTATTTGTAACCACTTAGGAGTCCCAGCTAGCTACCAGTACAGATTTTACCCCATGGGTAGGATTCTATTGTTAAGCTACATAACAAAGCACACTAATCCTGACACTGCAAATGGAAAAATATGAACCAAAAAAAAAAAAAATTACACCAATAAGTTGATCAAACTGTCCGTTTTTGATATTTGCATGCTCCCCTCTGAACTGGCTGTGGCAATGTAATGCCTGTATAATGTTTTCAAATAAAAATAAATGCTTTATGAAAGCACTGAGTTCTTGGATTTCTTGAGTGTTTGTCTGCACTATGACAACCAAGGAAGCAGCTCTCTTGGGATCCTAGAAATAGCAACTGCAGCAGATAGCCAGGCACAGGTCAAGATGCAAACCAGCAAGAAAATATTTCCAAATTAGGAAGGGTACAGCCAATCTCCGAACTGTAGCTCCAAAAAGCCAAATTAGACACATTTTTCATTTGCAAAATTAATTATTTATCTGGGTACTCCTACGCAGCACGAAGCCTGCCTTTAGAACACATGCAGGACAAAGTAAATGCACCCTGGGGACCCAGTTTCTCATGAAGAAGCAAGCTCTGTGAGCACTATGCATTCTCCTGAGCAGAGCATTTGTAAAGCAGGGACGCCCCTGCCCCAGCACCGCATGTTTCTGCCCTGACTCCCAGGATCTGCCCTCCACCGCCTGCTGGCTCCTGAAACCCCTGAACACCTAAAGCAGGCTCCACACACACTCATGTTCGAACCATTCATGTTCACGGTCAGACTTTGAAAGGAGACAGGCCCACACGACTGCGTGTCTGAGTTATATGCACAGCATCTTCTGAAGAAAAGGACGAATTTCCCAGGAGAAAGGGAAGGGCCACATACTGAGTGCTCTGGAAGGTGCTCTTGGGTCGACCCCTAAAGGGTCAGAACAACGTGTACTTCACACAAACCGTGTGAAAAACTGGGATCCACTGTTGAAAAATACTTCTCTGAAGAATGTAAATCTTTCTCTAAAGGATTGTTGAATTTTACTTTGTAAGCTCTTTGAACAAAAATGAACTAAAGTTGAACTTCAGCTTAGGTTATGTCCAAATGTCCAGCAATCCCAAATGATTAGGGTCTAGTTAGCAGGGACAATAAATGTACAGGTCATGTTCCATCTTTTCCTCCCACTGAATTATAATTTTCATAAGAGAGAAAACTGAGTTTCCTAAGTACTTGAAAGCCCTTGATATGCTAAGGCAAGGAAGCACTTGAATGACCTCAATAGCTATGAATATGAGGCAAAATAGCAAAAACTAAAATTCAGCAGGAGGGCTATAACTTATTATTTTGTCTTCATGTTTCCCAGGAAAACAGACCCTAAAGTGTGTGATGACCTTGGCCATGTCTGTGCCCAGAAGCCTCGAGTGCATCTGATTTCACGCTGTGTCCTTTAAACCATGAACACAAAGCATAGGATAAGACATTCTACTGCAAAACTGCTTTTCCTCCTGCTATTCCTGAGGAAATTTTTTACCATAAAACTCCTTTTCTCGGAAAGGAAGAAATCACAATGCCCACCTAAATGCACTGTCTAGAGGACTAAACAGTCACTTTCAATGTTTGGTCCTCAGGCTGAGGCTTGGGGTGTGAAGCAACACTGTCCTTTTTTGACTTGAAAAAGAGTTTTGAGTTTATAGTGTACCTTCTTAACTGTGTACACTGATCTTTCTTTATTCCTTCCTCTTTTTTTTTTCTTTTTTCTTCTTTCTGCAAACACAATCAGAGGGCTTACGGTGGACTACCTAGGCAGGGTCTCGTCCCCTCATTCTCAGTGTGGTCAAAGATACTTAATTCAAAAACATTATAGTACCGCTGGACACCCTGCTCCTCCAGGTGGCCTTTACCAGCGCCTGAAAGGACAAGCCATTGTCCTCAGGCAGCTAGACAGGTCGCTTCTACATTTGGCTGCAGCCTGATTAACAGGGAAAACTAACAACTAGCAGGAGAGGGTCTCCGGGAATGCGCTCTGGGATTAGGGCTGTGGGGGTGACACAGAACTCTGCCAAAGCAGGAAAACGAGCTTGTCATCAACGCTCAGGGTCAGCACTGGGGCAACCCCACAGTGCCCTAAGTCACTGCTGGGAAGAGACTGCTATTCCTTTACACAACTGGAAGGGATCTTCGTGCACTGCCCCACCTGCTGGTACTGGCTAAACCGTGCAGATGTCCTCTTTAAAGACCTACTTGTTTAACGACTCTTCAGACTTACAACCTATCTTTTCTTCTTGGTACAGCTCTGTGCATCTTGTTTATGGAGCCTCACTGTCTTTTTAGTACAGCACACCTTGCTTATACAGTACTGTAGTTTTGCTGATTGTACTGTATGGTACTCTAGTTTTATGTTGTTATGATTACAGTGCTGCATGTAAGAGTTATGCAAATAGAAGCAAAATCATCAAGTTGGCATTTCCTCTGACCATTTCTTTGTTCTGAATATTGTAACGTACATAGTATATACAATTAGCGACCAATTCAATTAACAACCTAGTCTTGGGAACAGAACTCGGTCATTAAATGAGGGCGCCCATATGAGGTTCATCTAATTAGATGCAAGAGCTACAATAGAGCATCGAGTGGGCTGAGCGCACAACTCATGGCCAGGGCATCTATGTGGACTGAGACTAGCGCAGTTGTGCCGGACACCAGCCGCAGACGTGGCCTGTCCCAGACGGACCCGGAAACGTGGCCACCCTGGCTCTGAGAGAGAAGCCGGCACTTCCCTCCCACAGCAAGTTGGCTGCACAGCGCTGGCCCCATCTAAGGCAGAGCGGCGGGCGAGGCTGGCCACCTACCCACCCACGATGGCGGACACTGGGGTCCCCCGGGAGAGCAGCTCTGCCTCAGCCCTACCTCGCCCTCAGGCCTCCTTCTGGGAGTCATCCATGGCCAAAAGGAGAAGAAGGGAGAGGAGTTCCAACAGCGAGAGCTGCAACCCCATCATTCTCGATTCATGGCTAAATGGACAGGAAAATGTAAAAGAACAAGCAAAGAGTGTGAGCCTGAAGGAGCTAGCTTTGCTGGAATCATTTAGAAGTCAATTACAGAAGCTGACAACTCACACACTTGGGGAAATGCTGAATGATAAATAAGTGCCTGGACTCACGGATGTGTATTCCCAGTGGGGAAGGGGAGGTTCCTGGGCCCAAAGCAGCAGGTGCGGGACAGCAGCGAACCCCACACACCCTTCGCTGGGCATCCCCCCAGCGGTGTCCACAAGCACCACTTCCAGGGCTTTGGGGCTAGAGATGGAACTCGGGGTGGTGCTGCCTATTTTTGCGCAAAGTTGGGCTCCTTCCTGGCTTTCATGGCTCTGTCTTTGTGGGCAAGGAGAATTAGTTCCACAGCCCCTGAAGAAGGTGGATAAATTTTAAGTAATAGTAATAATTGCAGTTTCACAGATGGTTGGCTATGTGCCAGATTCACAGCAAACTCGAGAAGCAATAAAAAAATCCACTTGTTCTTAAAATGACTAGTGTTCTAAATGAAATTACTAGAGAAAGAGGAAATGGGCTAATTGCTGGAACAATCAAAACAGTCTCATTATGGGACTCCCTGTGAGCTTTTGTTTGAATTCTCTAATGTAGTTTTGGGCCTTAAATAGGATTTTAAAAGCTAAATAGGTCACACATGCATACAAATGGTTGAGTGAGTCACGTAACTGCTTTATGTTCCCAAGATTTTGCCTATCAGGCTGCATTTTAATTAAAAGGAGAATTGTCAGAGATAGAGAACTCAATGTGGGGAATTTAGTGTCTGTCATTGAAGACAGAGACTCCATTTTGCATTCCGTTTTCACTTCACAATCGAGGCTCTCAAAGGACAATGAAGTCCATTTTTACTGCAGTCACAAACTTAAACACAGAGTGTGAGAACAAGCGGAAACAGTGCAGACCACTGTGTGACAGTCACGCCATCTGTCCCATGGCTGTACGCTGCTGGGAGGCATGTGATGGTCGGGCTAGTCAGAAGGAGGGACGTAGCCTTTCGAAGTCAGTTTTAGTCACCACTGGCAAAAGCCCACAGGGACCGCGGCAGTGCAGATCTTCTGTGCAAGCCTGGCCCATGGCCACTGGAAACCCACGTGGGCAGCCAGATCCGCGCACCTAGGAGGGTGCAGCAGCTTCGCAGGCGCCTGGATGAGTCGTCCTTGTTAACACACCTGTTACCAGCAACTCCTGACCGATAATCCCAGGGAGAAAAGACAGAAGCAGCACAAAGTGTGTGTCCAAACTCACCCACCTTTATCCTCCTGGATTAAACCCTTCCAGGAAACTCTAGGCCTCGGCAGTCCGCCTGGACCTGCTGAAGCCTCTGTGAGCGCCCCCTGCTGCCCCGAGCCCTGTCAGCTAATGGTATGCGGAAATTAAAACCATCCAGCCCACCAACCATTGGAGAGCTGGGATTTTCAAACCCAAAGCTGTCCCTGCTCCCCTGAGGGGTCCATGTTGCTCTTCGTGTGCTACTAGAGTCTCCTTGGAGCCACCACCTGCCTGTGAAAATACCCTTCTACCATTTCTCTTCTGACTGGTTGAATGGATTGTTTCAATGTGCAATGCAATCTCCTTTTATTGACTCTTGGCATGTATAGAAATAGACTTTTATATACTAATGCAATTTTCTATCTTTTCCCATTATAATGCTAAATTCCCACCCATCTCTAATAAGATTGTAGTAAGATCTCTCTGCTTTTTTGGCATCTTCATGTTATTTCTGTCTATTCATCCTAAAATGTGGGCCCAGATCCACAGCAGTGTTCCACCTTTATTTCTACTGACATCTCAGCTTGGTCTTCCTAATTCCCTAGTTCACTTTTTTTTTTTTTTTTTGGTACCAGGGATCAAACTCAGGTCCTTGTGCTTGCCAGGCAGGCGGGGCCCCACTGAGCTAAATCCCCATTCCTCCCTAGTTCATTTTGATGACAGCTTCTTGAGCATTTCAGGAAAATATTTTTCTTTGCTTTAGAATTTAAATATGATTTATGTTTGATCATTTCTTCTCTGAAGCAATTTAAGAAGAGAAAAAAGCTCTACTGATCACAGAAAGTCATATATTAGATACCATTTGTGGGCTATATAGACATTTGTTTTAAAAGACAGAATAGAATTAACTGTTTAAATGTTGCACTATACATTTATTAAATAAAACCTTCTGAATCCTAAATGACAATTCTTTTTAAATCAAATTGTGACTTTAAAAAATTAAAAATTGCTTCTTTCCCAAT